GGTGTGGCCTGACTGATTCTAGATCATTAGGTCTACTTAAAATTGCCAACAAGACAGGGTCTGACATGAAGTAGAACCGAGGAAAGGCTTTCCTCTTGTTGTCAAGGTAACCAACAAGTGACTTGAAGCAGATCTCAAGCTCCTCGTAAATATGACGTAGGACAACACCTTTAGGTACATCACCACCATATGTGCACTAAAAATAAAATGTATAGGATTCTTAAAAAAAAAAACCCAAAGCATCTCAAAGAAATTCAGAATTTATACCATATATTCTCGCATATAAGACAAGACTTAAAATATCAAAATTACAATGTAAAAACACATACAAATTTTTGATTTTCAAATCATGATCCCCTTATGTGCGGAACATCTACAACATGCAAATTTACTACTGAAATGAGGATACCAACTGTTAGTATGGATAAACGCAATTTTAAATGCGGGAACATTTAAAAGTAAAAGTGGTATTATTTAGAAAATTAGCCCTACATTTGGCTCCATTTTTAGCCAGCTAGATGCAGTATCAAGACCATGTTAAAGAGCAGCCAAAATTTGGAATTCTGATGATGAATCGGGGGAGAGGGGGGAGGGTGTCACCTTATATGCTGACACAAAAATCATCAAAAAATTTGTCTAATATGCAGATTGCCCTAATAATATATAGTATATTTATTACAAAAATACAGCCAAATTACCTGACTATGAAATTTTGACATGTGCACTTAAAACAATAGATGACATATTCCAAGTATGTCTCTCACCTGTAGAACATTTCTAGTATCATATGCTCGCTTCATTATCTTTGTCCAACTTTTATCAATTCGGTTAAATCTCTTTGCCTCCTGAGGGAGCTCTTTGGCCGTCATCGGGACACTAAACACAGCTTCTAAATACAACCAGAGATCTTGTACCTCTAACCACTGCTCAAGAACCTCAGCAACACCTAAGTTGACAGAGAATAAAATTGACAATTATAATAAATTATCAACAATAATATAATTACAATTATAAAATATACGTTTACTGCATTTATTAGTACCTTTGAGTTTCTCTGCCCAGCTTGCAGCCTCTTCTCTAAGAGGTCCAACGTGTCTTGATGTGAGCATATTAGCTAGCAATGCCTGAGCGTCTTCCAACTGCTCAAGTAGGTGTTCCGAGTTATCCTTCTCCAGGTAGATCGGTCCTCGTTTCTTGTAGTTTTGGAACATGAGCACCTGCTCCGTCCATTCTTCCTCCGTGATGCGTAACTTGACTTCCAGCTCAAGTTCCTTGCTGGCACAATGGCAAATCTCTTCAATTTCTTTCTGGTTTCTATTGCAACAAAACAATTTTAATTGGTTATAATAAATTATTACTATCACATTGTGATGATCTGTTAGTGGTGAAATATTCACTTACGGTAAATCATTGTTGAGTTGATAATACACAACAACAATTGAACATTTTTTGGCTTAATTATAACATGATCATTCACTTAAATGATTATTATTACATAATAAACTTACTGCATTAAGCCAATATCTAGGATGTGGCTGAGTTTGAAGACATTAGCTTCCAGCTGGAATGAGCTTCCTGTCACTGACATCACTTGCAACCAATGGCGATTCCTTATTTCCTGATTTTCAGAACAAAATGCTGACATTAACATGCATCAATAGATAATCAATCATTATCCTATCATCACCATTATCATTTTCATTATCATTATTTTCATTATCATTATTTTCATTCATTATGACTGTCATCATCATCATAATCATCAACTTCAACATCTCCAATTCTTTATCATAATCACTTTCATTACCAACATCATTGTATTTGTATTTATCATAACCTCACAAAGCAATGTTGATAACATCGAGTTTATCTCAAAATTTGTTTGGTTTATGAAACAATTCTACAATTGTATTTGTTGTTATTTTCATCAATGAGTACCATGAATATCACATTATCATTTTTACCTTTGATGCTAGCTTGTGTAGGATAGGAAACACATCCAGGTAGAACTGTATGGAATTTTTCATCTCATTGTAAGCTGTCTCTTATACACATCTTTAGTATGGATAAACGCAATTTTAAATGCGGGAACATTTAAAAGTAAAAGTGGTATTATTTAGAAAATTAGCCCTACATTTGGCTCCATTTTTAGCCAGCTAGATGCAGTATCAAGACCATGTTAAAGAGCAGCCAAAATTTGGAATTCTGATGATGAATCGGGGGAGAGGGGGGAGGGTGTCACCTTATATGCTGACACAAAAATCATCAAAAAATTTGTCTAATATGCAGATTGCCCTAATAATATATAGTATATTTATTACAAAAATACACTTTCATTAGCAACATCATTGTATTTGTATTTGCTCACAAAGCAATTTTCATTTTCATTATCATTATTTTCATTCATTATGACTGTCATCATCATCATAATCATCACCTTCAACATCTCCAATCCTTTATCATAATCACTTTCATTAGCAACATCATTGTATTTGTATTTGCTCACAAAGCAATGTTGATAATATCGAGTTTACCTCAAAATTTGTTTGTTTTATGAAACAATTCTACAATCGTATTTGTTGTTATTTTCACCAATGAGTAGCATGAATATCACATTATCATTTTTACCTTTGATGCTAGCTTGTGTAGTATAGGGAACACATCCAGGTAGAATTGTATGGAATTTTTCATCTCATTGTAAGCATCCCAATCTTTCAATTTCTCAGGTAAATTTTGACACTCCTCCCAATAACCCTCAACCTGGTGAATATAATGGTTTAAATCATATTGACAGTACAGCATAACAAAAACAGAGTGAATCATGTATTCCACAACAAACATGTCTTTCTAATACAGTCCCAGTATTTATTAGATTTTATGATTGATTACATAAATTTTCTTGTACTTCCCTTTTTTGCCTACCAGACTCATTACGTTTTGAGTGAAATAAAATTATAAATTATGAATTATACAATAATAGTTCAATAATCACTAAATACACATACATATCCATTTAATCAATAGATTGTGCAGATTATATTAGATATCTGATAAAAATTTCAAAAAATATCAGGAAATATTTATCAATTTCTCATAAACCATAACATATATGCTTACAATTTTCCACAAAATTATTCAATAGCTGGCTAATTTACACATTTTTCAATTATCTAAATAGAACAAACAGAACACAAGTAAAAATTAATAAAATTTACTGTCAGAGTAGCATTCTGAAGCTCAGCTTCTGCCCATAAACGATCTCTAAATTGGGCATCAAATGCAATGAACTTCTGGAATAATCCATACAGCAAACCAAGCAGATCCAGCTCCTGTAACCATAACAAAATTTAGAGATTAGAACTTGCAAACTTATAAATTACAATAATTGAATTCTTGAATCGGCATATGAATATAAATAAGAAATTATTGTAATATAAAAAGAGTAAAATTACAAGACAATCAATTAAATGAAAAAAATAAATGTACAAAATCTTACTTCTCCTGTTTTATCCAGCTCAGGAAATGGCTTACAATTGATACCAAAGAGTCTGGATACAGAGTCTAGTGTTTTTCTTTTAGAGTCATACAGCTTGTAGATCTCCAAGAACTCATGCAGCCTAGAGACAGCTTCAGCTGGCTGGACACCTGGTACCGCTGGGCCTTGGGAATCAAAGCTGTTACGAAACTGAATCACCTCAACAACAAACAACTATGTGGAAGGAGAAGAAATTTTAGGCACCCATTAATCTAAGATCCACTAACTTTATTTTACAGAGACTGAAAACTACAATCCTACAACCTCTTGATTTTATTACCTTAACTTGTTTGTCAAGTTCCTGCTCAAATGCTCCTCGTCTTTCCTTTAGTAATTTGATGCGACAGTTTTCGGCGAGATCTATCACATCTTGCCACTTGTCACGAAGGGCACTGACTTCTTCGACCTCGCTTCGTGGAAGACGCAAATTATAGCTCCTATCAAAAACAATGATAAGGAATATTAGCATTCCAAATGTAAAATGCATTTAAATAATAGAAAAATTTATTAATTAATGTAATGCTTGATGATATCATTCATAATAAAGCGGCAAGGCTGTGATGATATTTTTGCAACAAGCACCCTAAGTACCTTAAATCTGTATACATGGTCTCAATAGGAAGGTATATGCCGTCTATCTTGTTCTCCATATCTCGCACCTCTTCCAGTAAGTTAAGGGCTCCATTTAACTGATCAAGTGTCTTAACTTCCGATGAGAGCTTACTGACAACATTTGTCCGATACATTAAAGCCTGGTCAAGTCGCCGCTGTGAATTAAATGAATGAAAAACATAATAGCTACCAAAAAGATTATTCAGGATGACAATGAAACTCCTTGTATTAAGAAATTTATATTACCCCTCCAACAAGGGTCTGAGATGTCTTACTAACCTTAGCCTCTTCATGCAAGCTCTGGGCATACTGACTCTTCCACTGAACAGCAAAGCCGTACAAGGCATCCTTAATGGGGCTGGTTTGTAGACAGATGGACCCAACTGGCAGCACCTTTGGTATGGCTTGGATCTTTTCCTCTATGTGTAGAAGCCGTTCGACCTCTCGTTGTATAGCATGCATTCCAGGGTCGTTACTGATGAAGTCAAAGTAAGTGCCGTGCATATTGTCTTGCCACAAGAAGTCATAGAAACGGAAGTGCAGCACATGGTTGTCTACAATTTTCTGTAGATCTGTAAAAAAGGAATATTAAAGATTTCTGGTAATATTATTCAATGGTAATCAATGCAAAACTTAGAAACCCCCAAATGAAAAGAGAAATGTGTGATAACATTTATGATTTTGCCAATTTGCAAAATTCTCCTTACCGTGTACTACATTATCAAGACGATGCATGACAGTGATAACGACTGGCTCTTGACCTATGACCTCTTCAAACATATTAGATGCATTTTCGCCAGCCCACCATGAGAAGCCTTCTGAACACTTCAAGACAGCCTTGCCAACCTCCGTTAATGCAGTACACACGGAGTCGAGGCCTGGCTCAATGACGATGTTAGGGATCGCAAACTTCACTTCTACTTCAAACCTGAAAAACATTGATTTTACTTTGTATATCTTAATTACTTAATTTATTGGATTTTTAAAAATTTTTACATTTTAGTTAAATGTAAATTCCATCATCAATCATATCACCATCCTCATTATTTTAATTATTATCATCAATGTTATTATCATCACCATCACCATCCTCAATACTGTGCTATAATGATTGGAATCATCTCCATCATGAGCATGATCATGGTGTCATCATTATCATTGTTATGTTTATAGATATTTAATGGGTTAATTTCAATCTGTGTTATATTTTTATTTATTTATTTTTTTTTATTTAATCTTTTTTATTAATTAATTTTTTTATATATATATTTTTTTAATATTTATTACATTTACCTTAACAATTCATTGTTGAATTTGTACAAAAATCAAACAAACTTAATTATTGACAGAAAATAGGCTTACTGGAGATAAGTTCTTTCCAGCGTCTTCTCTGCTGTCCATGACAAATCCGACAAGTATGACAAAGATGTGGTTGGACGGCTACACTCATCACTCAAACTCATATCACTAAGCCTACTCGTCCCTGTGCCAACGCGACTGCGCAGCCTGTTACCGAGGACAGGACTGGGGCTGAAGGCGTGGCTACTGTTTTCTGTGATGGTCTCAAGGTAAGGTGTGTTCTGTTCCGTGGAAGTTAATTCGCTCATTACATGCTCCATGACTCCTTCGCAGCCGGATGCTTCAGCAAGCGTGATGAGACTGCGACAGATTGAAGACAACACAGCCTCATAGACATGATCTGAGTATAATGCTACAGGATTATAAAATAAGCAAATTATTACACTATGACATACAATTTTGAAAATATATAAGATATCTTTTCGTTTCATCAAAGCTGAACTGGATTATAATTTCTTACATAAATATAATTAAATAGTTAAATAATTATTGTACATTCAGCTTGCTTTTTAGATCAAGGACAAAGGATTTTCTATTGTCTACAGTATTATTACTAGAGTGGCCTTATTTGCAGTAGTAGGCATATTTGAATGTGCTCTTTAACTTGAATCACTTTCTTAATACATGTGGGAATCACAAACAAAAAAAGGGAAAAAAGATTTCATTCAAAACGTTCATTAACTTAATTGGCATTATACATACACCTATACGATTCCAATTACTGAAAATACCACTAGCAGTTTATGATAACATGCTTCCATATCATACTTGAGCTTTCCTTGTGTAGATTTGAGACATGGAGTCTACTGTTAAAGCTAAATAAATGACTTGGGGAAAAATGTACCTAACATGTCACCAATTGGTACATCATAATCAATATCATCTGGTGATGTGGTCTCATTCATCTGTGTTGTCATCTTTCCCCTTCTGGTTGAGAGGTGTTTTAAACTAGGGGTCATGCTTGTATTAGAATGGGCTGAAGCGGCACGCTGAAATAGACATACAATATAATTTAATTAACTAGTAATATGATAAGGAAGAGAAATACATTATTATTCTTTAACTTAAATTTTGCACACCAGAAGATAGTGTGATCACCATCTACAGCCCGTAAGTGATTACTAGGTTGGCTAAAACTAGACTGCAGAAAACATAAAAGGAATGTTTCAGCTCTTCTTGTATTTCACCTAAATTCTGTAAAGGTCTCATGTGCATGAAGTCTCTACATATGAAATAAGAATAGTTGGAAATTCTCTCTTAGTGTACTATTACCACACTACTAACTAATACATATTGGTGAGACAAGACTTTTTTATTCCTTGTTTCGCATACTTATTTTTTTAAAGATTATCAGAGGAGGGTGGAATAAAAATAAAATTTTGTTTTCTTGTTTAGCAAACAGTTTTGCCAAAATCATCCAGATGGAGTAGAGAATAAAAATAAAAATTTTATTGATGAATGTAAAATAGGATGGTTAAATGCTTAAAATTTATATAATAAGGAAGAAATATACATATCTTATCTTCGGAGATTTCAAGGCAGCGGAAGGCGTAATAAAAATAAAGAAAAACTTTTATTGTTTTCTTAAATTTCCACTTTTTCGTGGCGGTGGGTGCAGTAATTGGCCATAAAAAAAATTATATTTTTATTCGGAATCATCAACATTTGCAGTCAGCGGGTTCGCTAAACAAGGTATAAAAAAAGGTCTCGTCTGATTTGTAATACACACAGATTCCTTATCATCATCATCACAGTTACTATTTGTCATAATCCTTGTCATTATTATTGTATTTTTTTTACTAACCTCACCAATCAGTACATGAATGATCTCATAAACTGCAATTTCAATATCAGACACATATTCCTGTAACTGCTTCTTCCTCTGGTTCACTGATGCAAGCATATTCTCAGTAAAGGTTCCTGGGGGCTGGCAATACAACAAATAAAAGCTAAGTACAGCACAAAGAGCTGACAAATGTGGCATGGGGGTAACTGTCCATAGCTTCACTCTGATGAGCTTTTTAATGTGGGGGGGGGGTGAATTTTAATGCAGAGGGGCAAAAATTAATGAATATTTCAAATGCTTGTCTGCATAAAGAATATTTATATTTATATATATGATTAATATTATATTTATATAGATATACATGCACCTTGACTGACTGAATTAGTAATGGTTACAGTTACAATGAAGAACTTTTTTCTGAGTTCTTTATTGGCTAAACTGGTGGTAGCCACTCTGTGTGCTCTGAACCGTGGAGATCTTTAGGTCCCCGGTTCAATTCCCATCGCTGCTCTCTGTGTTTCAGCTGGAGGGCTGAAATACAAGTTGCAATAGCACACCGTCTTTTGGATGAGACTATTTTAATTAAATAGGGTATTGTCTCCCGGAGTACCGCCCAATCCACCACCAGAAAAACACCACTGGAAACAAGTCTTCGTACTTAGTGGGTTATCCTTGGTGTGATTCACACCGACATACTCCTACCCACTGGATTAGGAGATTCTCACCAACCATCTTATTATTTAATAACATTGTATAAAATAATAAATAGAGCTATATTATTGTATTTAACTTTATAGTATTTAAGTAGCTTAATTGCGGACTTGTGCTGCTTACCCATGAACGGCCAAATGCTGTCTCAATATCAAATAAGAACAGTTGGCTTATGGCCTTCAGTTTTGCCTCAAAGATGTGTATAAGAGACAGGCACATGGTTGTCTACAATTTTCTGTAGATCTGTAAAAAAGGAATATTAAAGATTTCTGGTAATATTATTCAATGGTAATCAATGCAAAACTTAGAAACCCCCAAATGAAAAGAGAAATGTGTGATAACATTTATGATTTTGCCAATTTGCAAAATTCTCCTTACCGTGTACTACATTATCAAGACGATGCATGACAGTGATAACGACTGGCTCTTGACCTATGACCTCTTCAAACATATTAGATGCATTTTCGCCAGCCCACCATGAGACGCCTTCTGACC